ATTATCTTTAAAAACGACTCCATCGTTTGCGTGAGAAGTCACACAAGAATTTTTTTTTATTAAAATTCGCCAATATTATCTTTGCTAATAAATTTTTCAAACTGATCGATAATGAAAATGCAGAGTAAATATAGATTAAATAATATATAATGAGCAATAATAATTTATTCATAATGATAGAACAAATTATTGGCAGAGCACTAATAAATATTCGTTAATTTAGGAAAAGAAAGTGGAATTCGAACTCTAACAATGCCAAATGTCATGCCAATGAAAAGTGCGTATTTACTATTTTCTAATGAGACTCCAGTTAATTGTTATTGATATATTTATATATTGTGTTATTATCTGTGTCGTTAAAAGCGAATTATACAATTGCCTTGCTATTGTACATTCGATGCATTAAATATTATCTTTTAATGCGATGTATAAACGAATTACCATTTATCATTGTAGAAAAAGTGAGTCGTAAAGATAGTAAAGTTTTATTAGCTATAAAACTAAGTGAGAAATTCAAGTCAATGCAATGGAATTATAATTCTAGTCAATTAATAAATCGGAGATTCCATGAGGTTTGAAAATTTCAGGTTTCCCCACTTGCGCGCGCCTTACGCCAGTCACACTTGCGTTATAAATCGGTGGTGTGAGTCCATGTAAGCCAGCCGTTATTGCTCACACACAGGCACGGGACATTGGACGCGCGGGAAAAGTTTGGCTTATCACAGCGCGAACGGATTCTGGCTCAAATGTCCATAGATTAGCAGTTACCCCCAATGACTAAGAGTCGGCGTCTCTGGTGGATAGTGGAATAACGGAATAATGATCGAACCCTCGATCGAGAGAATCCTCGTCGCGACAGTTGGCCGGCGGCAATGGCGAGGGGAGTCGCGGTCGTCATCGCCTCGTAGCATCACAGCCCATGAGTCACCGCGCGCAGATTTGTGCGGGACATGCGTCGAACGTGCGACTACGTCAGTAGTAACAGACCGCGCGACGTACGGCTCACTCGCGCAAGCGCTTACCTCCGCGGCCAGCTGTTGTTGTTCCTTCGCTTTTTTCCTTGCTCACGACGTTATTCTCGCCACGATCGTTGCGATCTTATTGGCCGACTGGCATGGCGTCACGTTAATGCACACTTTTTAACATTTTGTACGTGGGCGTACGACGCCGGCCATTGGGCTTTATTTGCAACGACTAACACAGATAATGGCAAAGGACAGTTTCGCCGGGTAAAGAATTTCTTGGATGTTTGGATTTACAGAGCACCAAACGAATGCTCGAACTATATCGTAGACACAATTTTACTTTAATTCAGCAGTCGCCTACATGGATTTCCGAGTTTTATGGCGAGAAACGAATATTATTTCTTGCAATTGGATCGAATATTACGAATTGAATTTTCGAAAGCTCAAGAAATTAATAAAAAACTATTCGATCAATTTGCTTTCCTTTGCATCAAATTTCCATTCTAAGCACGAGATCAAGAATAGCATTTTGAAGAAATGCAGAAAGAATTAAATAAATTCGTCTCTATACGTATGAGCGACGACGTTGTATTTTATATTTGAATATAATCATTGATAATTAATGATAAATTTTTTCATCGCTATATTCGATAAATTTTGCAAAGTAGACAAAATAATATTCACGACCTTTCAAATAAATTCATTATCCTCATTAGATTCTTCATCTTTACGATGTGATGTAGGAACTTCTGATCTTACACTCGACTACATCAGTTTATTTTACGTAATTTTTAATCGCTAAAACATTGTGTAACTGGCTCGATAAAAAAATAGAAAAATTTTTTTAAAAAAAAAAAAAAAAAAAAAAAAAAAAAAAGAAGTACGTGCTTTTCGAGACTACATATCTTTTTTGGCGTGGTAAATACGTCGGATTCGTACTTTGTTTTTGTGTCTCTTTTATGTTTATTTTTTCTTATTTTTTCCCCTTTCATTTTTAAATTAAACTTTTGTTTTAAATATAATGTTGTTATTCAATATATACGTAAACAGAATGACCGCGTGGGAAGGGGCCGGGGGTGGGCGGAGAGGACTTTACACGAGAACGAGGAGATCGAAGATACAATAAATATTTAATTTCGAATAATACGATAAATAATTTACACTATTTTTAAATGAAAAATTACACACACGTAACTTAATGTAATTTTTAGTATCTCTCATTATTGAGAAGAGAATAAATAGTAGAGATAATCGTACATAAGTACAATTCTTTTGAAAATATTAAAACACTTAATGTGATATACCGTTATCACATCTGAATGTTTATCGTGCATTCAATAAATAGAAAAAAAAAATTGAGAATTATTAAATTAGTGTTGATATCTTAAAATGATTGTATAACTCGTTATAAGAAATTATTCATAAAGAATAAATTGTGAATGCGAGTAATTAAAAATTAAAGTATACCGCACCATTCCAATTGAAGTGATAACAATGTATTACATCGAAGCTTTTCTTTCTAAGAATAAAATTGATTAATTATTATAATATTCGACGGAAGCCGATTTTAAATAGAATTTAATTTTATGGTAATTTTGTTGGCTTTTTATATAATTCAGATTACGCAATTTTCATGAAATATTCGATATATGAAATATTTAGAAGCTCATTTAAAAGTTCATAAAAGTAATTGATTAACGAGAGTACAAAATTTATCCTACCGATTAAAATAATAGATTAAAATGTATTTCGGCGTGAAATTAATATTAGCAATTGCTGCACTTTTTTATAGGAGCCCATTTAGATAAACTGCACGTCATATTTGTATTTGTCAACATTGCAATTGAGAATGTCCAGTACGATTGAAAACAAATGATGAAAGAAAGAAATGAAGAAAAGCGAGATTGATAGCTGAATAGATAGCTGGATAAACACATAGATAAATAAAGAGCCAGTGAGATGTGGGGTAACGGAGGGGGGGGGGGCGAATTAATAATTAATTTTTCAAAACTCCTCGCCTTTGTTGAGTCACTCGATGCGCACATGCAATAAGTTTTACATAAAAATTTCACAGAACCGAGTCTTTACAATAATAGATTTTACACTTTTTTTATGTAATCTTAAAAAGTACTCTACAGCAAAGGAGACGCGCATCGAGGAACCCTTGGTTGACGGCTGTTATAAGTATCCACAAAAGTATCACCTATGACATAATGGAAAGCAAGTCCATTAGAGCAGGTTATGCTATACTTTTTACATAAGCCAACTTCCTACACTTACGTACAGAGGCTCGGGAGCGTCATGCATTCGAGCTCGCTTTACCCGCTCGTTTATTTACCCAACTATTAACGCAGACTCATCAGGAAGGATTTCAACACGGACACTCTTATCGACTGACACATCGAGGTGCACCAAGTGCTCCTTTTCGACACAGCGCGACTTACGTAAGCCCGACGTTCGGCCACTCTCGCCGGCCTAAGGATATCGGGATATCCATTCGCGATATACACCGAGCGTAGCCCTCCCCCCGAATTATCACTCACCCAGCTGTACGGCAAGGTCGTATCTCTCGAGGGCCCGGCTGAGTTGTCCATCCTTGACAAGAGCATCGGCTTCGTGCCTCGCGGCGCTGGCTTCGGCCTCCCTCGGCCACCACTTCTCCACGAGCCTCTGCACCAGCACGTTCGTCTCCGAGCGTCCCATTTGTAGTTGCTGCTGCTGTTGCTGTTGCTGGTGCTGCTGTTGGTATTGCTGCTGGTGTTGTTGATGTTGCTGCTGCTGCTGCTGCTGCTGCTGCTGCTGCTGCTGCAGTTGGTGCTGGTATTGTTGATGGTAATAGTGCTGGTGCTGGTGCTGGTGATGCTGCTGCTGCTGATACTGCTGCTGCTGCTGCTGCTGCTGCTGCTGCTGCTGCTGCTGCTGCAGGTTCTGGTGCTGCTGCTCGTCGCACGAACTCTTAGGGCCACACACTCCACAGCCCTCGGGGCTCAGACAGTTCCTGCAGAAAGTGTGCCCGCACTCGAGGCTCACTGGCTGATGCAACGCGCCCTCGCAAACCGGACAGGCGAAGGAGCCTCCGACAGGCTCGGCGTCTCTCCTACCGCGCTGAGTGCCCAGCTCCTCCAAGAGCGCGTTGGTTAAGTGTCTGAGCTCGTCGGGCGGTACCTGGCCGAGGGCCAGGCACCTCGAATGAACGTCGATCGCCTCGCGGATCCTGCCGCAGCGCGCCAACGAGTCCCCATAACCGAGGAGTAGCTCGTAACTCGGAGCCGTTCGCTGCTGCTTCAGGCAGCGCTCGTACATCTCGAGAGCGAGCCGATAGTTGCGCGAGGCGAAGGCCTCTCTGGCGAGGTCGCTCATCTCGCTACGCCGGCCCGGGCATCCTCGAAGGGGCAGCCCCCGATGCCAAGCACGTTACACGGGGCACGGCGAGGCGACGCGGCGCGGATCGCGCTTCCCTCTGGCTCAGCGTCGACTGCTCGACTCGCCGGGGACGTCGGAGCGCCACGATGCCGCCGAGCGGTGGTTGCGCCTGCGAGTGTGGCGCCGCCGGTGAGAGTCGTGGCGCGGGTGGGCAACGACGCGGCCGATGGCGGGAGATGCGGGGACGGGCAGCTGTGACGGCGGCGGCAGCGGTGGCGGCGGTGGAAGCGTCGGCGGTGGCGGCGGCGGCGGCGGCGACGGCGGCGATCGCGGTGGAGCCGCGGTACCGTAGTGGAACGACGTTACCCGCGGGACGTGAGGTGGCGAGGGGGTGGCGCGGACGGATGGGGTCTTAGGGCGAGGTCGGCCGAAGTGCGTGACACGGGGAGAAAGGTTCGCGAGGAGTTGGCGAAGCGTCCTGGACTCGCGGGATACTGGCACACCGTGAGCCAGCGCACGCTGGTGGGGCAGGCCAGCCGAGGGGCAGGGGGGAGCCGGGAGAGCCTCGGGAGATGCCGACCCGGGGAGAAAGGATCGATCGGGACGCAAGGGTGCCATCGGGTCAGGGAGCAGCGGTGGCCGGGGCCGGGACACTTGTTGTCCGGATACGTACCCAGCGAATCAATTGCCCAAACGGATTTCTCCGTCCGCGGGCCTCACGCATGCGCCACCGCTGTCCCTTGCGTACGCGCGACGTAATCGACCTCCTCCTCTACCTCCTCCTCCTCCGCCACCTCCTTGACGCAAGCCCCGCAGCGACGCTTACCGCCTCGCGGGGATGCTGCCCTCGCCCTGGAATCCCACCGCTTGTTTACGTTGGCGTGCGCCGCCTTTTCCTCTTTGTTGAACTCGTTGGGGGAGTATTGGCATCCATCATCTTACGCTTGTTGCTCGCGCCTCGGCCGAGATTAGATTGTACGAGGTGGCAAGTCGATCGGTAATATATGGACTAATTCTACTTTTGATTGATTGATTAATTTATTGATTAGCTGGCAGCTTTGTCGGCTTGCTCCAACAGATGCAGATACTCGACCAGCAATTAAAATTGCAGAGTGCAATGCTGTTTGATCAAATGGTATGGGCTACTCGATACAAGTTTTCAACCAGTGGTAGTTTGCGGTGTATTATGGGAGCGCATTATGATTGATAAATATAATAAATATAATAAAGCGAAAGTAAATGCACGGGTTGTCGTTAAGAATGTAATAGACGCAATTACAAATATTTGCATTTGGTAAAGATCGAATTACGTGTACAGAACGTTGATATGTTATATTTTTAAATATAGAGATTTTGAATAAATGATCGGTCGATAGTTTCTACAAGTTTGTTTTGTTTTTTATATTTTTATAAAATTTCATTTGTCATCAATAGCGGAAACCATTTTATTGCCCCATAAGATAAAGGTCGATTGTATCCGGTCAGATGAACCTACAAATATATCTTTCTCTGCTTGCTTATATTTTCTATTACGTAGGGAAAAATGAATGCGAAAATAATAGTAACAAATAATGAACGATGTTCGTTTATTTTACAGGGGAAAATTTTTGGACCATTTTAATCAACAACAGTAAATGTAATGGTAAATTATAAAATTTAATTTTGCACCTACAGATTTTGATTTCACGATATGTTTAATATAGTATACATTATAATGCACCGTGAAATTGATAAATTTATAAAGTGTGGTTGAAAAATTTTAATCGATTGGTAATGGAATGAATTAAGTGAACTCCTAATTATTTATAGAACCGAGCGGTGTCGTGAATTAATATTATTTTATAGCTTTCCCAAGTTTCTAGCTCGTTTCTTCCCTACATTCGAACACTTGGAAAATTTTTCCATTTTGTTATAGAATATTTAAACATCTTATAAGTTATCGGAATTTACCGCATGTAATCGCATTTATTTACATTATATAACTTATGAAAGAATTTTATATTGATCCAGGTTATGGTCCTTTATGTAAGTAGGTATTTGTTCAAAAAAAAAAAAAAAAAAAAAAAAAAAAATTGTTCCACTTTGCTAAATTAAGTTAAATCAATAATGAACATGAACTTATCGTTTATGTATCAATTATTTATGCATATGTTAATTTGTCTTGAAATCAGTGAGAATATTTTCGCTCTTTGTCACATGATTAACTTGTATTTTAATTTGCTTTAGAGATTAAAATTGTCTTTGTAAACTAAAAGATATATTATTAGTTTGCATAGATGATATATTGTTCAAACATCCGCTCTTACTTAAAAAAAAACTGTACATAATGAACAAATAAAAGATTGTTTTTTGTTCAATTTCTCTTATCTTATCAACTGTTTTTATTTCAACAGTGCTTAAAACGTAAAGCTATAAAATATGAAAATCAATGATAACGATTTTCTTATATTATTTATGCCCTTTTCATACGTGTCAGCAAATAAAATGTAAGATTTTTCTCGATTCGCAAGAATGAAACTCATAGAAGAAATTTAATTGCACTTTATGTAAGGATAATGTGACAAAAATTAAGATATTTCATTTTCAATTTAACATTAATATAATGAAATTTACTTACATCACATCCTGTTACATTGTTCCTATATTAATCGTAAATATCGTATTTGTCTTTTAATCATAATAAATAAAAGATAATTGTCTTTAACCTACATATGATTGATTTAAAATAAATATTTAATCATTTTCACTCCTGAAATTGGATTATATTAATTTACTTCAATATATCTTTTCTTCTTTCGTGTTCTAACATTTTACTTACGATCATATTAACTTAAATATAAGAGCACAATGCCTTCTAATAATAATCTTTCACAATAATAAAGATAGTATTTCTATCATTTTTTTTTTCCTGATATTGTGTGGTGTGCTATAATTGTTAAAGTTGCCTTCATTGTATGATTAGGTCATTATACATTTTTTTTTTTTTTTAAATTATAATAACTTTGTTGTATAAACTCAATTTATATTTGCTTGCGTAGAAACATAGATGAAAATTTAATTTTGATTAGACCTAAAATGTATATGTAAATAAATGAATTTAATTTACGAATTATAATTAAAGTATATCAGAGGATGAGGATATCAATCTTGCCACATGGATTATAAATTATAGAAATTAAATTTCTCATATATTTCAAAGACATTCGAAATCAGTAAAGTTACAATGCAGGTTAAACTTATATAAGAAATACACTCTTATTGCAAATAAGTAATGCTTAGGGGTGGGTGGGGCGGGGGGTGGGGGGGGGTGAGGGGGGGGGGGGGGGGAGAGCATGTTGCTTCGTCCAGTTTTGATATTACAAAAACATCGAATATTTCGGTATTCCGATCGAAAATGTGCGAGATATTGTAATCTAAAATAAATGAGAAAATGACCATTAGTTTTACAATGTGAAAAACAGTACTTATACAATTTTGATTTTCTTATAATAATAATAGTTTTACTTTGGAAAAGTATAATGCTCATTTCGTGTATCGTTTTTTAAAGGAGAGAATAAATCTTTGAAAATGATAAATTTTTATCAAACAAAACCTCTCAAGCATCAATATCGTGACCTTTCCACCGACGTTTGTTATGAGCTCGTACGAATCGTTCATTGACTGTTAATTTACAAAGTTGAGCGATGATAAAGGAGTGTGTACCGACATTAATAAGAAAAAAAAAAGTTAAAAAAATGAAATTAAATGAAATGATGTTACATAATTTCAAATTCATTTAATATATTTGATATGTGTGTAAAAATTTCATTGTGATAAACGAGAAAGTTTTATCATGAAATTATTAATAATGAGACTACAATTATTATTTTTAAGAGCTACAAAATTAGCTATGAAAAAAATCAATGTAATATACTAGAAATAAAGAAAAAAAAAGGTTCTCTCGTACGTTTATGTTCGTTTAATAAAGTTTTTATAAGCACGAACTCAACATTTAATGATATTTATATATTTTTATATTTTAATAAAAAGTGGCTATTATCTCTGCATCAAATATAAAATTTTTACAGATATGATTAATTATTTGTAATATATCTTTATTATTAATAAACGTAGTCATGATGAATTTCTATTGAAATTAATTCAATTGAATTCTTCCAATTTTTTTCAAATGTCTTAGAATATCGTTGAATTGATACTCTAAAGAGATTATCTGACCCGATCATTAACATTTTAATTATTTTTGAAAATTTATTGTTGAACAACATGGTATTTGAATCACACTGTTTTGTATTGTGTTAAGTATTTTAGTTTAATGATTTTTAAAAATAATTATTATGAATAACCTTGATTGAGGAACGATGTTAAAAATTAAAAGTACTTGGATGATAAAATTATTGATATTGAGCGATATCGTAGTAATTAAGCGGTTTCGACAATTAAAATCCTCAACTATCATTACCATTTCTTATTTTGAAATTCTACGCGTAAGTAATAAAAGTAGAATGAGGTACGATCATTAGGTGCGTAAAATACTTTGAACTAATTAGTCATGTCACGTAATCAGCGTTTTTAAATATTCAGGTAAATATTCCACTCTATTAACTAACGATCATCTACTTTTTAACATTCAACTATGACTTGGATTTTTTACATGTCCGAAAAACCAATTTATTGTGCGGAAGAAGAAAAAGAGAAAGAGGATTGCGATTTTAGTCCGTATAAAAGCAGGATCGGTAAAACTTTAGAAAGCCATTCATACAACAATTTGAGTTATTTCCAAACAATCGGCGATACGAAGCTCGCAATACATACGAAAGTAAAATGCTGAAAATACAAGCTTGCGCCTACTGAGGCTTAATCTTCGACTGCATGCGTATTTATCTGGTGCACTTACATAAGCAATACGTGTTGCGTACGTATACACGTGCGATGAGGAGAGTCACCTTTACAGCCGATCGCAAAGCAAATTTTTAATCGTCGAAATGTCGTTGCCGGTA